GGGAGCTAATTTAGCTGTCTTGTTTTCTTTCTTATTCAAGATGGAGCTAATTTAGCTGTCTTGTCTCCTTTCTAATCCAAGATGGAGCTAATTTAGCCGCCATGTATCCTTTCTAATCAAAGAGGGAGCTAATTTAGCTGTCTTGTATCGTTTCTAATCCAAGATAGAGCTAATTTAGCTGTCTTGTATCCTTTCTAATCAAAGAGGGAGATAATTTAGCTGTCTTGTATCCTTTCTAATCCAAGACGGGGCTAATTTAGCCGCCATGTATCCTTTCTAATCAAAGAGGGAGCTAATTTAGCTGTCTTGTATCCTTTCTAATCAAAGAGGGAGCTAATTTAGCTGTCTTGTATCCTTTCTAATCAAAGAGGGAGCTAATTTAGCTGTCTTGTATCCTTTCTAATCAAAGAGGGAGCTAATTTAGCTGTCTTGTCTCCTTTCTTATTCAAGATGGAGCTAATTTAGCTGTCTTGTCTCCTTTCTAATCCAAGATGGAGCTAATTTAGCCGTCTTGTATCCTTTCTAATCAAAGAGGGAGCTAATTTAGCTGTCTTGTATCCTTTCTTATCTAAGATGGAGCTAATTCAGCAGTCTGATATCCACCATAATCCTAGATTGAGCTAATTTAGCAGTTTGACATCCTTCCTAGTCCACGAGGGGGCTAATTCAGCTGTTTTGTATCCTTCCTAGTCTAATTTAGCAAACTGTAATCCTCCCTAATCCATGCTTGAGCTAATCTATCTGTCTGATAACCTCTCTAATCCATAATGGAGCTAATTTAGCTGTCGGATATTCTCCCTAATCCATGGTTGAGCTAATTTAGCTGTCTGTGTCTGATACCTTCCCTAATCCAAGATGGAGCTAATTTAGGTGTCCGATATCCTCCCTAGTCCAAAATTGAGCTAATTTAGATGTCTAGTATCCTCCCTAATCCAAGCCAATTTCAGTAGTTGGATATCCTCATTAATCTAAGATGGGGCTACAGTAATTTAGCAGTCTGTAATCCTCCCTAAATCAAAGATGAGGCTAATGTAGCAGTCTGATATCCTCCCTATTTGC